TTCCATATTTTACATCAACCAGTTTTGCATCTTTCAATCGAATTGATCAAAACTTGCATTCATGTTTATTTTTCGCAATTCAACCACAATGATTTTGTTTACAAGTCTAATTTAATCAAGAAATCACATAACTGTCTAGGTCGTGAGTCCTTTGGGAAACGATACTTGGTCTTACCATTTTATTATTACTTGATACGATTCGGTACACTTGCCGAAGTGTTAACACCCAACTTTAAAAAAACCAAAGAGAAAATCTGCAGCGTTTGTGCTCAGCGGTAGTTGGCGCTGAGCGGCATGCGCGATATCCAATCTCCTTCTTCCTAGCTTGCCCTAAGTGTCCGTCACCAATGCCTCTCAACTTCAACTCTCAAATTTTCAAATCTCATATATTTTCCACTTACTCCATACACTCTCACTCAATCAATGCACTTAGTCTCTCACACCACTCAAACATTCAACAATCAATCCCTATAATGCAACTAGAACAGAGCCAAAACAAACAAACAAAGACAAATTCAATCAACTGGGTTTTCTCCCAGGTAGCGCTTGTTTAACGTCACGAGCCTGACCCAAAATCTTCCAACACCCATTAGTAGGTGCAAATCTTACCATCACCCTTCAGTAGGTGTACCTTCTGAGTATCCTTCAGTAAATACTCACCAACCCAGCATCCATCAGTAGATGCTAAACCTAAATATAACAACGTTCCAAAGTTTCAAATTACATCACCAAAATATTAATGTTCTCAAAGCACTGGGGTGTCTCCCAGCAAGCGCTCTTTTAACGTCATTAGCTTGACCCAATAAAGCTCAAGTTCCATATTTAGTGTTGGTGTTCTTCTTGCTTTCATCACACCAACTCATCAATTACTTCTGGTCCACCTTCTTGACTCTTCTTGAATATGGAGCTTCAATTTCTATCACTCCATTCTCTTTGAAATCTTTGACAACCCACAATTTGTTCTTGAATCTTACCGGTGTGCCAAGTTTGAATTGTGCATCCATCAAGTCATTATGAACCATCCTTCCTTTTCCATCTTTTTTCTTCTTCCCTAACCTCTGACAAGAAACAATATTTACCTTTGATGACCGACTTTGCAGCTTTAGAGCTAGTCACGGGTGCATCCTTACATGCAGCTTTATGATTAGTCTCCTTCTCTTCAATATGTTGCTCAACTTTGAAAACATTAAAGATCACCTTTTCCTCTTAGTCTTGAAGCACTATCATCCCATCATCCACATTGATAACTACTTTTGCCGTTTTCATAAACGGCCTTCCAAGAATAATTGTGATCTTCCCATCTTCCTCCATCTCTATCACCACAAAATCCACCAGGAATTTAAGTTTCTCTATACAAACCATAACATCTTCCGCTACATCATAGGGTTTCTTGGAAGATCCATCCACCATGAGCAAAGTCACCTTGGTTGGCTTGACTTCAAGATCGCCAATCCTTTCGAGCATAGATAAGGGCATCAAATTAATGCTTGACCGTAAATCAATTAAGGCCTTCCTTATATTCTCCTTCCCAATGACATAAGGAATATTAAAACTTCCTGAATCTTTCACTTTTGGAGGAAGTGGTTTCTCCAAAATAGCTCTACAATCTCCCTGTTTATCCATAGTTGTCTCCTCTAGATATCTCTTCTTTGCAAGGATTTACTTCATGTACTTTGAATAGAAAGAAATTTGTTGCAATGCTTCAGTCAAAGGTATTTTAATCTCCAATTGTTTGAAAATCTCTTTNTCCCCAACAAACATACAAGGTTTAGTTCACCATATTCATGGTGAACCTAGATGAATTACAATGAAAGTATGAAAGAATAAACCCAATAAAGGTGAAGAGGTAGCCTGAGCATCCAAGATCCTCCTTCAAAGGGGTGAAAGAGAGAGTGTTTGCCTCGTTTCTGCCAAAGATACTAATTCTAGGACGTGTAAGTCCTTATATACTAGTTTAGAATTACAAAAGATTACAAAAGCCCAAGTCCATAAAAGTGCCGCTCAGCGGTAAATACCGCTCAGCGGTGATTGCGCTTCACGTTTCTTCCCCTCAGCGGCCAGTTTGCCCCTCAGCGTGACTCCCGCAACCTCCTGAGTGCCGCTCAGCGGTAAAATGCCGCTGAGCGGTGCCTTCGGCTTCTACTTTTGCACTCTTTCTTGTCTTTTCTAATGTCATCTCTCTCATTCTTCACTTCTTTCACCAAATTCACCTCAAAACCTGCACAAAAACACTTAAATCAAGCATAAACCTGTCCAGCTCTCATATTTATGAAAATATAGATAAAAGCATGATTTCAAGCTAGTTTCTAAGTCTAAAGGTTGCTTTTAGTATCAATTTTAAGCATGAAAATAACAGTTTTTCAACTGTTATCAGTGATCCATAAAAACCTATTTTCTTCTTAGTCCAGCCACATTATAAGCCATAGAAAGTCCTTGTGATGATGCTTGCTTGTGAATGTGTTTGATTGTGGTTAAATGAAAGGCAAATTGATTCATGTGACATTGTGATAGTGGAGTGAATGAGTGACCTCTATATACACTTGCGTGATTGAGTGAAACACTTTATCAAGTGAGGAACAATTCCATGAGCACATGATTACATCTATGCTTAGTTAATTGATCATTCATGAGAATAGAATTTGTTGGATACTATGTGATTACGTGAACACCACAATGAGCTTGATTGAATCAAAGCATGTGTGCATCTTGACTGAATTCTTTTTTATAAGCTGATCTGAGTAATTACTTGTCTTGAAAGAAAGAGTTTTTGAATGTGTTGAACCATTGTATTGATTGATGGAAGAGTGAGTTACATATTGTTTGCTTGAGGACAAACATTTTACTTAAGTTTTGGAAAAAAGAGAGTTGGATGGACTTTATGCTTGGTTTTCCTTGTTTTGGTAGGAATTGAGATGAATTAGATGAAAGAAGTTGAAGTAGTAAGGAGCTGGACTCAGGAAAGGAAGTAAAAGTGCACAAAAGAAGATCCGCAGTCGTCGCTGAGCGTAACTTTTACCGCTGAGCGGCATTCTGAAGCACCGCAGTCACCGTTGAGGGTTAAAACTGTCGTTGAGCGTCATTCGGAAGAACCGCACTTACCGCTCAGTGCAATTCTGCCGCTGAGCGCTATTTAATTGGGCTTGGGCCTATTTTTTGTAATTTTTAATAAACTATATAAGGTTTTAGTCTACCTAGGGTTGATATCTTTGGAAAGAAAGAGGCGAAATCACACTTTCTTCACCCTTGGAGGCGGATTTTGGATGCGAAAGCTCCTTTCTTCAAATTCTAGGATTCTATCTTTCATTATTTTCATCTAGTTTCACCATGTCTATGGTGAACTAAACCTCCATTGTTGGTTGGGAACCAATGTAATCCTTTGAAACTCTCATGTATTGAATTGGTTCATATTTTATATGGTTTGCTTCATTAATTGTTAGGGTTTTTCTTCTACGCTCTATGCATGGTTTGTTTAAATCATTCAATTCCTTATCATTGATGTTATCTATATGGACACATATAGGTAAATCTAGAACTAGGGAAATTCTCCCAGAAGCAATTTACCTAGACATAGGAATAGGATGATTGGTTGCCTTTAAGCTTCTGTGTGAATGTAAAGCATGAATAATTGCTAGGGAAACAAGACATTGTAAACTAGTGATTAGGAGTAGGCTTTCTTCACCGAGACATCGGGTTTAAGGTAAATTAGAAAGTGACATTAACATTAATGAAGAAAGGCAAATTCATGAATACATGAGAGTGGATAGGATAAGTCGGAAACCCCAACAATATCGTCATTCCATATTTTACATCAACCAGTTTTGCATCTTTCAATCGAATTGATCAAAACTTGCATTCATGTTTATTTTTCGCAATTCAACCACAATGATTTTGTTTACAAGTCTAATTTAATCAAGAAATCACATAACTGTCTAGGTCGTGAGTCCTTTGGGAAACGATACTTGGTCTTACCATTTTATTATTACTTGATACGATTCGGTACACTTGCCGAAGTGTTAACACCCAACTTTAAAAAAACCAAAGAGAAAATCTGCAGCGTTTGTGCTCAGCGGTAGTTGGCGCTGAGCGGCATGCGCGATATCCAATCTCCTTCTTCCTAGCTTGCCCTAAGTGTCCGTCACCAATGCCTCTCAACTTCAACTCTCAAATTTTCAAATCTCATATATTTTCCACTTACTCCATACACTCTCACTCAATCAATGCACTTAGTCTCTCACACCACTCAAACATTCAACAATCAATCCCTATAATGCAACTAGAACAGAGCCAAAACAAACAAACAAAGACAAATTCAATCAACTGGGTTTTCTCCCAGGTAGCGCTTGTTTAACGTCACGAGCCTGACCCAAAATCTTCCAACACCCATTAGTAGGTGCAAATCTTACCATCACCCTTCAGTAGGTGTACCTTCTGAGTATCCTTCAGTAAATACTCACCAACCCAGCATCCATCAGTAGATGCTAAACCTAAATATAACAACGTTCCAAAGTTTCAAATTACATCACCAAAATATTAATGTTCTCAAAGCACTGGGGTGTCTCCCAGCAAGCGCTCTTTTAACGTCATTAGCTTGACCCAATAAAGCTCAAGTTCCATATTTAGTGTTGGTGTTCTTCTTGCTTTCATCACACCAACTCATCAATTACTTCTGGTCCACCTTCTTGACTCTTCTTGAATATGGAGCTTCAATTTCTATCACTCCATTCTCTTTGAAATCTTTGACAACCCACAATTTGTTCTTGAATCTTACCGGTGTGCCAAGTTTGAATTGTGCATCCATCAAGTCATTATGAACCATCCTTCCTTTTCCATCTTTTTTCTTCTTCCCTAACCTCTGACAAGAAACAATATTTACCTTTGATGACCGACTTTGCAGCTTTAGAGCTAGTCACGGGTGCATCCTTACATGCAGCTTTATGATTAGTCTCCTTCTCTTCAATATGTTGCTCAACTTTGAAAACATTAAAGATCACCTTTTCCTCTTAGTCTTGAAGCACTATCATCCCATCATCCACATTGATAACTACTTTTGCCGTTTTCATAAACGGCCTTCCAAGAATAATTGTGATCTTCCCATCTTCCTCCATCTCTATCACCACAAAATCCACCAGGAATTTAAGTTTCTCTATACAAACCATAACATCTTCCGCTACATCATAGGGTTTCTTGGAAGATCCATCCACCATGAGCAAAGTCACCTTGGTTGGCTTGACTTCAAGATCGCCAATCCTTTCGAGCATAGATAAGGGCATCAAATTAATGCTTGACCGTAAATCAATTAAGGCCTTCCTTATATTCTCCTTCCCAATGACATAAGGAATATTAAAACTTCCTGAATCTTTCACTTTTGGAGGAAGTGGTTTCTCCAAAATAGCTCTACAATCTCCCTGTTTATCCATAGTTGTCTCCTCTAGATATCTCTTCTTTGCAAGGATTTACTTCATGTACTTTGAATAGAAAGAAATTTGTTGCAATGCTTCAGTCAAAGGTATTTTAATCTCCAATTGTTTGAAAATCTCTTTAAAACGCTCATATTGTCTCTCTTTACCAATTTTCTCACTCCCCTTATGATAAGGAAGAACTTTTTCACTTTTCTCAAAATTTTTCTCTCCCCTCTTCTTTTCTTTTTCTCTCGTCTCACCTCAACTTTTCTCTTTTCTTTTTCTTCTCTCTTATCTAACTCAACTCTCTCTTTTTTCTCGTTCACCCTCGCATCATGTATACTCACAATAGCTTTACACTCTTCCTTAGGTTTAACCTCAATATTAGCCCCAAAACTTATGTCAAGCATATCCTCCAACTTCTTAGCTAATTGGCCAACCTGCATCTCCAAATTTCTAATTGCAGCTTCAATGCTCTTGTAGTTGGAGATAGTCACCTGTATAAATTGTTGAAGAGTTTCTTCTAGCTTTTTTGATCTCTCATTTAATGCAGATACTTGTTGCCATAGTGATGGTTGTTGTTGTGGTCTATTAACTTGTCCAGCTTGTCAATTTTGACCATGACCCATGCTTGGGTGAGGTTTCCATCCTGGGTTGAAATTCCCTTGGCGGTATTGGAATTGATTACCCATAAAATTGACATCTTTAAGGGCCTCCACTGGAAAAGCACATTGACCATTGATATGGTCACCATCACACAATTCATAGAGTTTTTGTTGAACCTGTAAGACGTTCTTCAGCTCCTTTGGCAACTGAGCGAGTGTCTTTGTCAAATTCTCCAATTGTTGAGTTATGATTTTATTTTGTGCAAGCAAGGCATCTTGATATTGCAATTGTAGGACTCCCTTCTGTTGAGGTGGAGCTCCTCTTTCACTATGCATCTCATTGTCATTAGTAGCCATGTTGTCTATCAATTCAATATCTTCCTCTGGAGTTTTTCATTTGATATTACCTTCATCTGAGGCATCTAGCATCAATTTGGTTTGTGAACCAAGACCTCCAAGGAAAAGAATGACTATCATTGCTTCGTCAAAGCCATGAGTGGGCGTCTTTCTCAACAAGCTCTTGTATCTATCCCATGCTTGACCTAATGTTTCCTCCATACCTTGCTTGAAAGAAGAAATTTCTTGCTTACCTTTGTTGATTTTGGATTATGGGAAGTACTTGTTTAGAAACTTTGAAACCACAGCTTCCCATTCAGTAAATCTATCCTCCGGGAAAGATATCAACCATAGCTTAGTGATGCTGTTGTCGCGGCCCATCAAATTTGATGTGCATTAAAGAATGCAGTATAGTGCTAGGAAGTGACTCCTAGGTCGTCTCTCAAGGACCAAATGTGGTTCGGGAATCAGGTCAAACACGTAGTGGGGATGTTATTTAAGAGNTTCTCCAATTGTTGAGTTATGATTTTATTTTGTGCAAGCAAGGCATCTTGATATTGCAATTGTAGGACTCCCTTCTGTTGAGGTGGAGCTCCTCTTTCACTATGCATCTCATTGTCATTAGTAGCCATGTTGTCTATCAATTCAAAAGCTACCTCTGGAGTCTTGCATTTGATATTACCTCCAGCTGAGGCATCTAGCATCAATTTGGTTTGTGAACCAAGACCTCCAAGGAAAAGAATGACTATCATTGCTTCGTCAAAGCCATGAGTGGGCGTCTTTCTCAACAAGCTCTTGTATCTATCCCATGCTTGACCTAATGTTTCCTCCATACCTTGCTTGAAAGAAGAAATTTCTTGCTTACCTTTGTTGATTTTGGATTATGGGAAGTACTTGTTTAGAAACTTTGAAACCACAGCTTCCCATTCAGTAAATCTATCCTCCGGGAAAGATATCAACCATAGCTTAGTGATGCTGTTGTCGCGGCCCATCAAATTTGATGTGCATTAAAGAATGCAGTATAGTGCTAGGAAGTGACTCCTAGGTCGTCTCTCAAGGACCAAATGTGGTTCGGGAATCAGGTCAAACACGTAGTGGGGATGTTATTTAAGAGTTTTTGCGATAATAAATGAACTAAATTAAAATGGAAATTAAACACAATCAAACATAATTGAAAACATTAAAGTGAATATTAAAATTTAAATAAAGAAAAAAAGAAAAATAAGTCACTAAAAAAACTTAGGAGCATTTAATTAAACATGCATATGCGTAAGGAAAATTGGAATGAAAACATAAGTTGGTGAATAAAAAAAACTCTCAGACGGTGATAAATCATAAGTGCAATTTTGCTTTAGCCATGAAGGCACCGTGCAACATGAAACAAGACTTTAATTCCATCATGTGAATTAATTAAAGTGCAATAATCCAACGCTAATTAAAAAGATAAATCTACAACCATAGCCCTTCATCCTCGGTGGTCGTGTGTTCTCAAATGAAAGATCATCTTCCTCTTGGCGGCTGCCCTTCCATGCCTAGATACCCCCCCTTCATTCAGCGTCACGGGTTTTTAAAACCCTTCTCTAAGCTGCTGGACGCTGGACCGTGATCTGTTGCTGCCCACCGTGAAGGCTTGTTGGACTTTTTGATGTGAGCTATTGTACGCTGCTGCCAAGTTGCTGGATTCTCCTTGGACGCTTGCCTTTTTCTTTCGCTGTTGTGCTGGCCCGTGCTTCACTCGTTATTGGACCAGCTACTAGACGCATGTTCCCATTTGCAGGCAGCCCAAATGAATTTGATTTTTTCTCCCAGCACCTCCTGGATGTTGTTGTCCTTGTGAACGTGTGCTTTCCATGGACGTGTGTTGGATGTGCAAAGTTCATTCCCATGGACCCCTGCTGCCAGCGTATTTCCTCTCCAAGCTGCTGCCAAGCTGAACCTCTTCAATTGGGCCGTGAGCTTCCTTTTCCAAATGAAGTCAGGGCCTCCTATTCCAAAAACAAAATCCACTTCTTCCAAAAGAAATTCCAAATGAATCCAATGTGCCTTCACGTACTACATCCCTTCTTTCGGTGGCTGCTTTGCTTGGATACGTGAAGCTTCTTCAAAGCTAGCTGGAAGCGTGAAGTTATTTCCGTGTGAACCTCCCGAAAATGAATGCTTGGTGTAGCTTTTCTAAAAGAAAGAAAATGAGTTCAAGCACCGCATGTGCTCTTCCAACTAGTAACCGTGTACAACACCTCCTTTTCTTTATCTCCCATGCTACTTTATTTTAAGCCAAAAATAAGTGCTCTCCTTCTTTCTTCATCTGTTGATTGTTGGATGAAAGAAATAAGTGGGTGCAAGCCGTGGCATGAATGTGGAGCTACTTTTGCTATTCAATAAATGAGGCCTCATTGCAGCCAGCTTGTTCTTTTCTTGTGGGCCTCTCTTCTTTCCAAGCACACATTTATCATTTAACCTTAAAATGTCCCAAATTATATTTCCAAAATTTTCCCTGAAATCAATAATGCAAATAATAGCCTCAGATAATTCAAATTAATTAAAATAAGAATTTCTGATTAAATTAAGCATAATTAGCAAAAATGGTAAAATACTGGACATTTAAGCACAATTCTCCGATTAATTCTAGCACAATAAGCTAAGTGAAGTGAATAAAATATTGACTCATCACTTAGCATTGCCTCCCAATGAGAAAGGAAAGAAACTAAGTTTTATACTGTCATCCAGCACACCATTATATATGCTTTATTTACTTCATTAAAAAAATAAAAATAAAAATAAAAACTTGATAAACAACTTTTTAATCCCCAAAAATGGAGTCAAAAACTTGTCTATCAAGTTTTTGGCGTCGTTGCCGGGGACTTGTGGTATAACTATTCTATTTGTGTGATTCTTAACTGATTAGACTTTATCTTTAATTTTCATCTTTTTATTTTTTTATATCTTTCTATCTTTTCATCTTTCTAACTTTATATCTTTCAGTCTTTTCATCTTTCTATCTTTTAATCTTTATATGTTTTCATCTTTCTATCTTTTCATCTTTCGATCTTCTTATCTTTTTATTTTTTATCTTTAATTTTTTATCCTTTTATCTTTTTATCTTTTTATCTTTCTATCTTTTCATCCTTTTATTTTTTTTATCTTTTTCTCTTTTTATCTTTTTATCTTTTTATTTTTTCATCCTATTATCTTTTTATCCTTTTCTCTTTTTATTATTTTTTTATCATTTTATCTTTTTATTTTCTTTTTATCTTCTTATCTTTTTATCTTTTTAGTTTTTTTATCTTTTCCTTTTTATCTGTTTATCTTTTTATTTTTATTTTTATTTTTTCATCTTTTTATCTTTTTATCTTTTGACCTTTTTATTTTTTTCATTCTATCTTTCTATCTTTTTATCTTTCTATCTTTCTATCCCTTCATTTTTTTTCTTTTAAATTTTTTATCTGTTTGTGCTAATTGGGTGCTCTAGTTTAGTGTTCTTTAGTGTTTGCAGGATAAAATTCGAAAAATTGTACTAGGAGCACAAGATCATCAAGAAAAGAAGCACAACATCTACTGATGAATGCTAGGTGATTGAGTATCTACTGAAGGATACTATGCTATCAGACACGTACTAATGAGTGTTGATGAAAAGGATTTGCATTTATTGATTGATGCTAGGTGATTGAGTATGTACTGAAGATGTTAGTGAAGAAGTATCTACTGAAGGATACTATGTTTGTATTCACCTACTGATGGGTGTTGGTGATAAAGATATGTGTCTACTGAAGGATGCTGAAGGATTTTGGGTCAAGCTCGTGACATTAAACAAGCGCTACCTGGGATGCACCCCAGTTATCTAAACTTGTCTTTTTATTTTTGTGAAGTTTAATTTGCTTCTGTTTCTAGAATATGTTATGATTTACTTGGCTTAAAATTTAATCTGTGCTACAATGGTTTGATGATGATGTTATGTTTGTGATGAGTGTTGCTTTATGATGCTAATTATATTTATTGATGTTGAGATGATTCATGATGCTAATAACACAGGTGGTTGCTCATAATATTGTGAAACAGATGCTTGATGAATTGTGATTG